TCATCATCATCATCATCATCATTGTCTGCTGTAATAACCGCGTACTTGTTGTACAGTGGTTGTAGCTGCCATAGTTTCGTCCACCGATGATTCGGAGAGATGAGTTAGGTAGCTGCGCATTGGAGGCGGGAGTTGATAAATTAGTGCGTAAATACAGCACTGTAGGTGGAGTGTTAAGTGGGGGGTTGGGAAGGGAGCTATGCATTGAAGGCAATAGCTTGGATGCATGAGCGCCATTGAGTGCGCGACTGGGCCATGTCAGACAATGACTCTAACCATTGATATGGCCCGTCTCGGGGTCCCCAATCAGAAAGACGGCAATGACCAACGCAGCCGAGTTTGCTGGAAATGGCTTTTATACTTCGCTGCCAAGTCACTGTTTGACCGTCTCTGACTCTCACTCTTCACGTGGTTGTGCGAAAGAGCCCTTCGAGGAATTCGATCGACTGGCATACGCAGCACGTGGCCAAGCCAGCGTAACCTATGCAGTGTGATCAGTTCATCTATCGGGGGTGAGTTATTTCTCCCGAATATATTTGACGAACTTTAGCCAAGTAGATGGTCTTTCCAAAGGATACATTAAGTCGTTCAACCTGACCATTGCATTGTGGATTATATGCAGCGGTGTGACTAGTGGCAACGCCTTTATCAAACAAAAATTGGGGAAAAAATTGAGTTCAGTTGGTATGAACGCAGAACCGTGGTCTGGGTGAATATAAACAGGCATATCAAACAGTGAAAACTATTGACACAAACAATGAATCACGGTGGATGAGAACATATTGGCGCAAGAATAAGCAAAAGGGAATCGAGAATACTCCACAACGATTGTTAACAGGTACTTGTTTTGCGCGTGTTTGAGGGAAGTGGTCCTTTGACGTTCAAAAGCTTGTGTGGCTCTGGTAAGCTGGCCACGAAGTTTCACAAGATTTAGTTCGAGTTCGGAGCTTGTAGAACAGTCAGACATCACACGTCGGATACCACTGAATGAAAAAGGAAGGTTCTTAGATCGAACGAAATGTGCAAATCTCGTGACCCCGGGATGGCATAATATGTTGTGAAGCTCCAAGTTTTTCCGTCCCAGCAATGGTACAAAGGTTACGAGATAGGGTATTAGCAACGCGGTTATCCTATCCTGGTCTATAGAAGACTTCGTGGGTGTGCCCTGCCAGTTCGATTTTCCACTGTTCAATCTTGTCATTCTATATTTTACTCTTTGGTTACCGTACATAAAAGCGGCCGAACGTTGATCCGTAGTCAGTTTAAAATGTCTCCCGAGGAGATAGTGGCGCCATTCATGGATCGCTTCGGCGATAGCGTATGTTTCTTTCGACAGCAGAATGATTTTCTCGCTTGCAGTCAAAGTTCTGGGGAAAAAGGCGACCGGCCGGTAACCCTGGCTCAGGGATGCACTAATAGCAGTGTTGGACGGATCAGTTTCGATGACGAGAGGGATATTGAAGTCGACAGTAGCAACCAGCGCGTTCTCTAATTCGTGCTCAAGGTTCTCAAATGCTGATAAGTCATTCTCCGAAAGTGGAAATAGTTTTTTTTAATCAGTGAATGAATTTTTTCAGAAAACGTCGCATTGCGTGTGTCTGGTAATAGACGACAGCCTGTCACTGACTTGGACCGAGCTAGCAGGCTCTTAACGAGCTACTTCAACTGGTCTTATCTGGCCTTCCTCATCTTAATGCGTCAGATATTTCTGTACGGCTTTACGTCCTTAATCACGATAATGAATAAGTTGCCGAGGCGAACTTGAAGCCAAAGGTGAACACCATGTTATCAACGAATGACACTATGTATTTCTGCGCACAGTACCAGCCAATTTTTTCCTTCCATACCGAATCATCTTGCTTTTATCGGAAGCCAGATTCTGGAAAGGCACGTGTTTTTGTCACTTTGTTTTTCGAAAAATGTAATTCCGTAGAAATTTACTCAGAAGTATCTGTTTTGTCCTAAGCCAAGTGAGAATGGAAAATTCTGCGTGTGCTTTCTTATAGTCATAAATAATTGAATAATCAGATTCAAAATGGATAAGATGGCGTAGGTCGAATAGCAATCCTAAAGGAACCTGGTCGCCTTGTAGAAATGGCCTTGCATGTAAAGCCTGCTCTCCGTGCCTCCAATGGATGTTCTCTATATGGTCATAACTATATGAACAGTGGCTGCGGAAGTATACACATGTTGGAAATAGGTAAAACCTATAACCTTACTCAGATTTCTTAGGCACGCGCCACTCATCTGTTCAATACTGAGGGATGACTATACCTGGCGTTCCGCAGGTTTTACCTCGAGTTTTAGGATTTGTCTCCTGGGCATTGTTTGGAGCCACTGATCATGCGGTTCGTCCCAATTTGATCTGCTGGTCTACGGGTGAAGTGTACTGAACAAGGAGTGTTTTTTTATTCTCAATAAAGTTATACACTGTTGCTGCGTCTGGTCATTTCACATTTAGGCTAAGATGAGTAACATGGTGGTATTGGCCAAAATTTGGGCGACTGGCCTATATTTTGTAACATATAAACACAAAATGACAAGCGTCGATCACTTACCTGAAAACTGAGACCCTCACTATAACCTAATGCTAAAGAGTGGAATGTAGTTTTCTAATTCCACAATGACGTTTCTGTTGTGTCTCATCTATGAAGCTTTGGGTTACCGTGAAAGCATCACTTGATCTGCAATGCAACCACAGCTTTGAATTGAGGCCTAGTAGCCCGAACATTGATATTGTCGCTACTCAATACTGATGACAGATTTGATCTTGCTATTCACCCAACTCAACCTATTCCAGAGCTCCAAGAGGTTCCACAATCTTCTACATCGTGTTAAATACAGCATACTCTTGCCACCTAATCTCCCGTTTCCACTCACCTTCGACAAGGTTCAGTTCTCCAACGCAAACAGTGAGTCCAAAAAGTGGTATTCGACGTGTTTTCTGGCGACTTCCTACTTCTGAGTTCGACGAAATGAAGTTTTGGTATTGTCTCTTCGCTACTGGAGGGATGAAGTTAATTTTTACATACGGTAATGTAATCTGAAAATTTTAGTTATGCTTCCCCTAAACTGTTTGGTCTTGGGGGGAGGGGTATTTCTATGAGTTTCGGTTTGAATGTGCTCCAGTGTTTCACTTATGCTTCTCTTTCAACCTCTGTAGCATTCTTGTCATTGTTGGAGGTTCTGGCTTCTGGATTGTTAGTGTGGTGGGAAGTGGATATTTGCGTGCTCGGTGGGCTCCTACAGCAGTTCTCCCTTATCCGGGCACGTGCAATGTACACGCAACTGGTGCTTGCTATACGGTTTCCAGTCAGTTATTCCATATAATATCAACCGGACAATGTCGCCGATAATACATTTTGGCGAGACTGGTTGAAAGCCACTTAGCTTATATGGATAATGCACACATGACCCTGAGCATACCCTTCTACTGGATGCTGCTGTTAGTCTCTACCGGTTATTGTCACTTCCCGGATCCGAATATCCGTTTGGACCGGTGTTTGCGCACGGATGGTAGGTGGACTTCAATGTGTCGCATAAATTGCCATTTTTTTAGAAACACTCAGCTGGAATCGAACGTTCCACTTCAACAACCATAGTCTAAACCTCACATTGGAAGTAACCGATCGCCCATCCCACTGGATACTGAACTACATATTTGCCATTATTGCACATGAAAGGTTAGGCTACCAGAATATCACTTTCGTTGAACGCACATGGAGTACTCCCAGTGATTCAATCAGTCGATTAATGTGCCCCGATGAAAAGTAAGTGTATTTTTTCTCTGACAATCGTGTCTTTTCACCTATTGTTGTTGTTGTTGTTGTTGTTGTTGTTGTACCTATTCATTTCATGTTTGGTTTTGTGTGTTAAAACTAGAATAAACACCTTTAGCTATCGTTTGGGCCATTTTGGGGTACTGCATTTAGGGTATACTGAATTACTGATATCGGTGGATGATACGCATAAGGAGTAACAAGGTTAACAGGCGGTTGGTTCTGTTCCCAGCTTTTATTTGTCTGTCAACCCCCTTCCAAGCACCGTCAGCTGCTGCATGAAGTGTGCATGATCAACTTTCATAATGATGTAACAAACCATGTCGAAACACTATTCATAAGGCTGCTAAAAACCGACGGGCCAATACCAGTTTCGCCCATTTTGAGATTCATCAAGTTGGTGTAGTCCCAGAGTTTCCATCAACCTTAGTTCTAATTGAACGTGAGTCGTGTGACGAGGTACACTCGTTTGCAACTTACACTGATGTTAATAAGAGACTCAAATGAATCGCTTGTTTATGATGTTTTCAACTGAAAGTGCCGCACAAAGGCTGCTTCGTGTCTCAGCCGGTACGACATTTGGAGTATTGCAGTATATTTTCTCGATAGAACACGCGGCTCATGAGGTTGTTGGAAACTTTTCTGCAGCTCACGACCGGTGTCGCTCTTGAGGCTTATCAGATGGGCCTAGTCCTCGAATTCCAATAACATAAACGTGAAATTCTTTTGAGTCTGTAACAGTACTTTGCAAGTGAGTTCTTTCCGTTTATCACACACTCGTTGGTATCCAACTAGAACATAATGTTAGCCCGGGGACTGCGCCTACTTGATGAGTCTCTAGAAAGGCGAAACCGGTAGGTTACCGAGGAGTATGAGTAGCGTGTTATAACAAAGAAATATACTGTGATGTCTCGAATATCTTGTCAACTGCTATAACAGCTGTTTTTTTAGAGGAAAAAGTTTTGTGTTGGAAGGAAGAGCCTGACTCAACATTACAGTGGTAAACCACTGGCTCTCTGTCGTCTGTGACGGCGACAACCATTTCGAATGCAACCATGCAGCATACAATACAGTCCCTGCGTTACAGTCTCAGTTGTGTAAGAAACAGTTACAAGGGAGTGGAGTCGCGCTCCACTCACACGCGCTCACAATTGTGATACTTGCATGAATGTCAATTTCTGCTTAACGTTATTCTCCACAGTCATGTCGTTTCACTTATCACCCCCTCCTTTGTCATGCCGAACAAGGCCCGCTGATTATAGCTGTTTTGTCGAAACAGTACTTTGACGATCGGATGGATTAAGCTTATCTGATTTGTGGCCTGCCCCCCACCTAATATGAAACCTTTTGTTCGGCAACTTTGACTTGGTGTACTAGCTTGTCCTGCGTCCTGTCAGTCGCAATGTCTGTGATAGCGTTTGGAACCCTCGACCCTAGGGAAGTGGACGCCGTAGCTTTTGACATCTCTGAAGTTGTGATGGTATAAGGTGCTTCGAAACCAATTTTAGGTTTGCCGCGCATCGCCGACTTCGATGTGTTTCTTGCAGGTGGACTTACCACACAATGGCCATATGACTGAAGTGCATTATAACAAATCGTGAAAGGTAACGGGAAGCGCATGATTGTTGACAGTGAAGCACTAGTGTTCAATCCTAGTGTACATAATGATGTATATTCGTCTTGATTTATGTAGTTGTTAGGGATGTATCGAAACATTGGTACGTTTGGTCGGTTGTTGAACGCTTGTGTTGTTATTGGCCCAACTTTCCTGTGCCAAATGTCTTAATCACCGTGGCGTTAGGGGCTTGGTGTTTGTCCCACGAGAACAGATTGCAGGCCATTCAGCACAATCAAACTATCCATTTTTCGCATAGCGTTAGTGAATTGATCAGCATCGGAATGACACATGCTGTGGGAGCTTTGGAAGGAAGCGAAGTTTATAGGGGTGGTGATCGAGGAGACAGTAGATATGTCTGAAAGTGCGCGTAAAGGGCATCTTTGTCTTGATGATCCAGACTTCTCGGGGTTGGACGGGAGCCTCCCCGCCACCAAAGTGCGCCTGGTCGACTTGAATGGGACTGGAACGACTAGTTGGAGCTAACTTTGTTACTACTGATGTACAGAATGCATACATGAGCGATGTTTAACCAAAGCTCAGGCATCTCCTTATAAAGGTCATACTCGAGGAACGCAAAGTGCGGTCTTTATGCGGGAGGTGGGGGAGTTTTCTCACAGACTGTGTTTTATTTTTTTACCCATTTTGCACATCCATCAACGAAGGAAAATGTCGTAAACCTACGCGTTTTGGCCAGTCGGAAAAGTAAGGAAGAAATCAAGTTACCGACGGTATTCGTAGTCTTTGCCTTGCTTTAACCGACGATTTTCTATTTTGCATGTGTTTAAGACTCGCGGTTGGCCGATTTCCTGTCAAACTATGGTGTCTTCAACTGATCCCTCTTTTCCTTCCCTTCCCATTTACTAGCTTTCACCCATTTTTCCAGCTACACAGAAGCCTGTTTGTTATTACTAGTTATCAAATTTAATCACAAGTGTGGACATAAATATTTAACGGATCGGAGCTAGACGGACAAATGGTACACTGATAAGGTAACAGTATGTGCACCACACATTCCGGCCCTATTCCCAAGGCGTACTGCCTTCTAATAGTCCGCTGTGTGGTTTAGACCGATTACAGTTCCATATACCTATGGGGCAATTTTGCTTCGACGCTTCGGATCTACTTAATGAAAGCAAGTTTCGTTCTGAGAGATATGTGATATAAAGTGGTAACTGCCCTTGATCAGTGTCATTCTTCACAAACTGCACACATCAGCGGTATGAAGTCATTAAATCTCAACAGCACGGGCTTTTTATGGTCATACTCCAGCGAACTCAGTTTCTGATGTCGCTTCTTTGTTCTTCAATGTATAACTAAAGCATATACAATCCAGCTCCAGCAAGACGTGCGACTGCGATGCTGTTCCGTAACTGGTCTCAATCGATGAAGCAGACCGCAGTGTGCCAGATAATCTGGTACCAACACTATCCCGATAACAGCCTCTTGGAGAAACGGGAAGCGTCGCCTTATAATCCGTCATCTCAGTAATGCTGTAATGATGTCATAAGCAGATAATGTGTGATTGCCTGGGTCGGCATGACCACCAAACTGCTACCCTGAATCTACGACCGAATGCAAATTACCGAGTGCTTTAGCAGTGAGAAATGAGGGGAATGGTCAGCATGTATGAAAAAGCCGTTTGTACACCGAACTAAGGTCCTCGGCACAGAAATTTGAGATCTTTTGCCTACATGAAAGGATCTGCACACTGGATCATAGTTCTGTTTTGTAGCGTATTTGGTGCATGTAGCCTAGTTACGGAATTTCGTCCGTTTCTCCTTCACGCCGAGAACGGCTTTAAGTACGAAAACGTTGCAACGATGTTTACCGTAGTAGAAGAACCGTAAGCTTTCTCAGAACAACGAATATGTTCGTTTTGAGGTGCTATATCACAGTTAGAATCGCGTGGCCACGACGAAGCTACAGCTTGTGCATCAGAGGAATTCATTGCGCGCAACTTCCTTACGGGTAGATCATTTCTGATAGTGTGATGGTACGGGTAAACTACACCATTAAGCCTTTTTTCCTGTGATGGATAACACGATCGGGCGAGCACAAGTCCTCAGTGAGATTTTTCCGTAATGCTTCAGCAGTCCAACCTAGTTTTTACCACACGGGGCTACTACAACTGCAGTTTGGTATATGCACGCCAACCGTTATACAGAATCACTTCCATCTGTTGAAAAATCCCCGAATCTCCTCATACTGCGAACAATCTTTAAGTTGCTCAGAAGAAGGGTAAAAATCACCCGATAAGTGAAACGTTCATTTGAGAAGCCTCCACTAGATGAACCAGTGAACACGTATGATCAAGTGGGCGGGATCCCCTACTTGCTTCATCTCTGAGTGGGAGCTAATAACTATTCTGGTCAGCTATTCGAGACCGGACGGTTAAGTGTTCAGACCAGTAGTCGGGAGGCCGCGGGTTTGAGAACTGCGCACTGCTGATGATTCCCAAAAGGGTGAAATAGCCGTTCAGTGCTTCTCAGCTTCTTCACACAGGACGAAATCCTTGTTGAAAAACTTATACCACTTCTAGCGGTTTTCCTCCCTGCCCGACACAACTGATTTCAATTCTGTCAGGCGGTTACTGGGCAGGTAAACCTGATGTTTTCACCAGTTATTGTTTTCGTGAGCGATTTACCGGGTCGAGGCACGGACAAACAGCCATTGATCGCGATATCTCAGTGACTAAATCGCAAAGCTACTGACCTTGGTTGTCAGTGACTCACGTGCTCATCCGCAGCAAAATAAACGAGGAACTGTAGAGTTTGCTTCCACTGATTTCGATAAGGCATATTTTCACATGGATGTACCCAAATTCAATAGCTTGTATATGCTTTGGTGATGGGCAGCTCTGGAGATGAGCTATTTTTTTCCGGACGACGCAGTGTGTTTCATAATGTGCAGATAGGTTTTTTGACCGTTCTTTGCTTCAGGTAGATCTAATCAGGTGTATATTTCCACCGCGACTACGTACCTACCGCTTTTCTTGTTCGATAGCTGCACGGAACTTCCCGAGGCCCATGTTAATCTTGAAGTGTGGCTACCATTGGGCACCACACCGAGTTTCTGGGCCCCGCCTACCAAAGTAACGGATCATGGTCCTTTGGGGCCTGTTAGCCGCTGGGCCCTTTTGCTATCTCCTGCGTTTGTCACTCAAGCCCAAAATCTGCAACGGGTGAGTAATGGTTTTCTCGTCTCCCCAAATTATAGTGGAACATCTGCAGGGACACAGAATCAGTTGAAAACGGCTGTTTATGAAGCTGTAACCCAGTGATTTTTCTTCAATTGAAACGCCAATATTCATTTTTCAACTTCAGTTCGAGAACAGGGTAGCTAGTGATATGGGAATAAGCTTGCTACCAAAACGTTATAACAGTTCAACGAGATCCACCTAGTGTCACCATGTAGAGTAAGCTCCGTAAATAGCCCTTACGGCACTGAATTTTCATCCTTCCGGAAATCCGAAGCGTGCTTCATTTGTCCAAGTCGTAAGGAAGCGAAAAACTTTTAGTCTAGCTGATTTTTTTTTCGGCAATTAGGTTAGTGAGCATCCACAATGGACTTGTATCAAACCACCGTTTCATAAGCTTTTTATAATTTACCATCTGACGGTTGGAGTAAGTGTCGCCAGAACAAGGTTTGCATTAGGAAACCAAAATAATCATTTGAATCCCTTATATTAAGGCAACTACAGTGCTCTCGTTCTAAGTTGCAACAAAGCATTCCTTCCAAAACACCGCTGCATAACTGGAGGTATTTTGTGTCCCTATATCACGTGTTTCTGGAATTTCCGATTTAACTTCCGTTTTCGAAATCTACCGCTCGATGAAAGCCGTAAATCATCCTTTCGGGCTGGTCGGTGTACGGGAGATAGCGACTTTTGCACAACGGTAACCGATCCACTCATCTTGTTGCATGGCCAAGACGGATATGGTAAAAGGCTAATTAAGACCAAGTCGTTTTATTGATCGCTTCACAAAGAACAGCATACAAATTCGGTTTTGACGCAGCTGAATATCATTTATGACACGCAGTCTTCGTAGACCAGTTCTAGAACGCGCATCAAGTTGTTTTAGCTGTGACAAAGCAGCCCAGCCCATTCACTGTTCACCTTAGCAGATAATGGATGCTTTCCACTGGTTCTTTCCGTTGTCTTTGTTTCTTCATCATGGTTTTCTTGTCGACTGATTGTTCACTCTTGTTTTCCTCCATTTTTAGTGGGCATAGTACATGTGTCACAGTACATAGGAAGAAAGAAGGGTAAAAAACCTGCCAGCACTCCGTTTGTCTCGCAGAAAGTCACATGTGCGTCACTGGTTCCGATTCTGGCTGTTTCGGAAAGTTTACTAAGCCAAATGCAGTCATCCTCATCCAGAGAGTCGTGGTGACTTGGTGCGCCAGCAGAGGCTAATACGACGGCCAATGTCGTAACATGTAGTCTCATCTGTTGATCTAACGGTTGGCGTTCCATCCCAAAGTAGCAAACTAGGTTCACTTGTGTACTGGCATCTTTAAAACGTCTTCCAGACATCGTAGTTGGTGCCACTCAGGACAAGAATGTTGTCCTGCGAACTTGTTTGTTGTTCAGGCACGGTTGGTCTGTTACTATCTTATGCTCGAACAATCCATGTTTAACGTCCATACGGAAACAACACATGCTTGTCCTTTCAGTGACAGACTGGTGTCTCCCCGACGCCACAGTTTACGAACGTCGTTCGGGCTTTGACAGTGCGATCGTATACCACATCCTGTGGACCAGCGGTACTGAAGCAGTTTCTTAGGTATGCATGTTCCACAATCACTTCTCTTGTGTCAAGGGAGAGAGGGCCAGGCGGAGGAACGGGAGTGTGCATGCTTGGGTACTCTAATATCACTTTTCACTTTATTGAAAAAACAATCCAAAATGACCGATGGAAGTCATCAGCTTGTCAGGAGCATCCGGTGCCCCATTCTCAATCACGGGACGTTACTACATCGTCTGCATATCCTGGGTCTCGCTCAGCACCACTACATGTGGAAATATCAAACGCTTTCTTGAACACGTCATCGATAATAAAATTACATAGGAACCAAGATACTGGGCAGATTTGTCGAACTGCGCTGTAAGTGGCAAAACACGAAGTCAGTTTGCTGTGTGCCCAAAATTGCTTGGAAGTACGCGCGCGGAGTGCCTTCAGCACCGCACCACCTCATAAGGGAACTCCGTTTTCCACAGGGTAGATCCACGCGGTCGTCCTCACTTCAAAAGCACTTTCGATGTCAAGGTCGAACTTCAGATTTGGTCTTCGGTGTATAATGCAGCCTCAGTAATTGTCGTATGGTCAGCATGTGATCAAATCAGCCTCAACCCAGTAGAAATTGATTGGATTGCTGGTGCACTGTAATTGGTGAAGCGTATCAGATTTGTTATCACAATTGTTCCTAGGTGCTTACAGGTGTCATCTTACGCAGACCTAATAGCACTCGTGAGAGGCATAATTGTGAAAACTCAGTAGAGTTCCGTCCGGGTTGTGGACGGCTTGATGACATAGTTACCTTGCTATAAGTACTGGAACACCGCCACACGTACAGTAGGCCCACGGTTACTGTCTTCTTACATCCAGAAGCAGCGTTTGACTCATTCGATCATGTTTAAAGATATGCCGGACATTTTCGTTACGCTTCTGCAATCCGTTAACTCGAACACCCGTGGGCACGTGAGAGCCTACGGATGTTCCCCTGAGTTCCTCACCAAAGTGGTACTTTCGGGGAAAACCCTTTGTCACCTTTCCTCGAATTGATTATGGTAGAAACGTTCGGTATCTTCTGCCTTTGGCGTAGAGCTTCTCTGGGAAGACCATAAAACTTGGAGTACGCGGACGATATTGCGCTACTTTCTTGGGGTCCCATTCAAATATGAAATGTATTAAATGATGTGGCCATGCGTTTTTGCATACGCTTTGCCCTTCAAAGTACAGACTTATTATAAGACTTGTTGATTGGACCACCAAAACTGGTCATGGCATCGAAAGCACTAGAGATAGTGGACAGATTTTCCCTATTTGGATGACAGCTTTGCCGACGAAACCTGGTTTGCTTTCCTTCAACTCAGGCACATCTGGGATCAGTATGACATTAGTTTTCCGGTGAAAATCGGTCTACGACACCGGTGTTGTTTTACGGTGCATTCCACACGGTATTGCAACTCCCGTGGCTTGCTGCCCCGTATGTATGTCAGAGGTCACGTTTATTTGTGACAACTTTCCGTGTAGACAAAGGGAAAATGTTAGCTAAATCTGTAGGGCTACCTTGGGATTCTCCGCAGGGTTGAGGTAGGGCCTTCGTGATTGGGCGGCTAAAAATGCTCAATCCTGATTGGCTCATTCTTGTCACTTAAAACATGCCTTTTGTTCGCAAGCGGCACGCGACACCTTCGTGCAATCGATGTGACCTTCCATTAGTTTGATTGACCAGCCTCTGGACACCTCTCCCTTGAGGATGTCATTCGCCCGATCGCTGGTGTGATTTGATTTGTGCTGGCTCGAAGTACTACTGTCAATTTGTCGGCCCGTCCCAACGGCAGGGAGGATGCTTACCTGAGATCTGGTACAGATCTGCATTTCGGAGATAGGCCAAAGTTGTCTAGTGATCCACGTAACTTGGTTACATTGTGGGGCCACAATCCGCTGCCTCAACGTAATTCGTTTGACGCAACTGCTTCTGGGTTCTGACTTGCATCGCTTGCCTGACGTAGTGTTCAACCAGGCGTCCACAGTGGGCATCGTTCACAGTATCTCCGAATCAGCCGCTGACTTTATAATCGTTGTGATTTATTTTCTGTCGGTTTCTCTTCCTTGACTTTTTATGGATGTTCGGGAAAACGTAGTCCTGTGGCCGGAATACACTGCACACACGTCCTGATCGGGATGTGACTGAGTCAACCACCTGTAACTTTGATGCGTGTGTTTTACTGTTGACTGCGCAGTTATGAGATCTTCCAGCCAATACATACCGGGCGCATGTATTGTTTCGACTCACACGGTACTGGTTATGAGTTCGTAGGGTGTGTGCTCTTGTTTCCATGAGACTCACCACGCGTCCGTCATACTTGTGGGCCAGAATGCGGAGGTCGTTTCGTATTGACATGTTTTATTGGAGTGCAGTTCATTTCCCAATTCTTTTTATTCCTAAATCATAAGTTCTCATCTGCCTTGAACCTCTGCTTAGAAGTTCATTTGTCTTACGGGTGATGAGAGCTGTTGCTTTATTAAGCTATTATCTATTACCAATCCATAAGCGGCTTCCGTTTTAAGAGATACTCTTGAGGAAACTCTTGAGTACACCTTTTTCACTAGCTTACATTTTCGGTGGATAACACGAAGTTCCATTGCGATTCCTCTCGCAGCCAAATTTAGAGTCTACCTGTGATCCAGTCATTCGTTCTGTCTTCAGACAGAACGGGGAAGCATTCGGAACCAGTTTGAATCTTGGTAATCCTGAGAACCAGCCAGCAATGCTCAACGTGCAAAGCAGTAAGTTCCTTCTGTGTAGTCGGCGGGCTCACATCTGATTGAAATCCTACGGTGTTGTTTTTTCTTCTGGGTTGACGCCCTGATTATTAGCATTTCGTTTCTGACTCCGATGATGTTTTACTGAATCCTAATTCGTGAAAACATGGGCTGTCACCGAATTTTTCTACCTACAATACTATTGATACATGGTGCACAGCCGCAACTTTTTACGCCTAGGATAACTGAATTCTGGTTGTAATACAACAGAATTACTACATTTCTCAAAATTTATGCAGTGCGATGCTTGTGGTCGAAAACATTCCCTGATTTAATACGGCACAGCACATGTATTCGGTCTTCAATGGATGTGTACCGAAGGACGTTCCACTTATGCGTAATACGTGCTTCCATGTCGTAAAACGCCTCAGTCTTTTGAACTAATATGACCCCCAGTTTCTCACGAGAAAGTGCCTCAACTTTGTTTGGTACAAAAGGACAGCAGCCAGCTAGATACTGTTATCAACATAATTATTGTTATTTATCATCCTCATCGTCGCAAACCCTATTTTCTGTACTATTAAGCGTTTATCAGGTTCGCAGTGCGGGTTCTCGATACCCCAGTCATATGGATGGCTTGCGTCAGCGATCCAAGGACCACACTTAAGTTGCTTTACAAACAACCGACAGGACTTCGTCACAGAGGCTCTAGTTTTCTGCCGTAATTGCAGTATCCAGATGAGTGGTAGAAAGTGGCCACGAAAATTGTGGTTCAAAGTGCTCGGTTCAGCAGCCGGTGTG